CGTTTGCTGTGTACTTGCAGCTTGTCTAGGGTAAAACTTGTGTTGCCCACTGCACTCACATCAAGTTTTTGGCGCCGTTTCCGGGGATCTGTCACTGTTGACTTGACTTCTTAATCTAATTTCAATCCTAAACCTCAAGATTTTCGAGTTCTGCTGGAGATCTTCTAACTCCTCTTTTTATCTTTGCTTTCTTTGCTCACAGGTGCATGAAAACTAGGAGAAATCCTGATGACATCGTATTGCCCTTACACGAGATTGAAAAACACAAAAGAGCACTTGAAAACTCAGACGAAAAACGCTCGAGAAGGCCAATCCTAATGCCCATCGGGAAGATCTTTTAAACCGTGACTAGGAGGATCACATTGGAGATGATGACCGTGATTCAGTTCATGGTGATGACCAAGATGCTGCCCATAAAGAAGATGGACAGCCACAACTCGATGAAGAGGGGAACCGAGTCCCTCAAGCCGCTGATAATCAAAGGAGACAAGACCAGGCCAATGCTGAAGAGAAAAGGAATGATGAAAACATTGGTCCACTAGTTGTTAGAGAAGCCAATCGACCAATACAACTTGCCAATCCTGCGAGAAGACAGCCTCGGAATAGACTCATTGCCGATTTCGATGCACCTCACCAACACTTCCAAAATCGATCAGCTATTCAAATTCCTGTCCCAAGAGAAAATCATGAGATAAAACCTCAGATTGTCTCTTTGGTGAAGCAGAACCAATTCCATGGAATCTCTACTGAGCATCCAATGAACCACATTGATCTTTTTGAAGAAATCTCTAGAATGGTGAGAACAACTCCAGAATCTGTGGACTATGTGAAGTGTAAGCTCTTTCCTTTCTCTCTAAATGATAAAGCTTTTAGATGGTTAAAATATATGCCATCTGGTTCTATTACTTCATGGGAAGAATGCAAGTCAGCTTTCTTTAACCACTTCTACACCATGTCAAGATCAAACCAGCTGAGAAACAAGATACAAAGTTTCCAACAAGGCCCAATAGAATCCTTCTATGAAGCCTGGGAGCGATTCAAGGAGTATGAGAAAGACTGTCCTCATCATGGTTTCTCTGGAGCAAACCTGCTAAGCACCTTCTACAGAGGACTTCAGCAGAAGTATCAACTTTCTCTTGACACTGCCAGCAATGGAGATTTCAGTTCGAAAACCATACCACAAGGGAGAGCACTCATCGAAAATCTAGCTGTAGCCAACAGCAACAACAACCCTGAGTATGACAGATCAAAGAAGACTATCACTAGTCATGAATCAAGGGAGATTGCTGAGCTAAAAAGCATGGTAAGTCAACTTCTTAAGTCTCAAAATAAGAATATACATGCTTGTGATAATGATGTAGGAAATGAAGAAGATGGAAGATATGAAGAAGATGGTATGTACCAAGAGGAAGAAATCAATTTTATGGGAGCTCAGGCATACCATAACCGATTTAGTCCAGCTTTCAACAACAACTTCAGGAACTCTGGTGCCAACTTCAACAATCTCTCATACAGAAATCAAGGAGCCGAGAATCAGCCCTATCCGCAGCACCAAAGGAGTTTTCAAAACAAGTTCCAAAATGGGAACTATGGAGGAGGAAACTTCCAACAAAGACAACCTTTCAATCCTCAACAAGCACATACCAGCTCATTAGAAGCAACCATTTCCCAACTAAGCAACCAGGTAAAATCGCTTGAACAAACTATGATGCAGACTACTCAAGGCAATGAGAAGTCAATCAGGGAAATGGGGGTGAAGATCGATTGTATTTACATGACTTGAATGGGAAGTTCGAATCTCTTGCGACCCATTTCAAGAAGTTAGAACATCAGATAGGTCAAACTGCAGATTCAATGAAGAGACAACCAGGAGTTTTACCAGGAAGAGTGGAAGATAACCCAAAGAAGTTCTGCAATGCTATGACAGCAGTTTTGGAAGAAGAACCTGTCGCAGACTCTAAGGAAAAATTGACACCTGAACCTCTCATAAAGGACTCTGAAACCGAGCATGAGAGAAGCCAATTCCGGTTAAGGTACCCAAACGCTTGCCTGACCAAAGACTCAAAAAGTCTAAGGATCCATGGCGTTTTTCCTTCACTTGTTCAAGCTTTGGAATTGAATTTTCAGATTGTTTATGTGACTCTGGTGCTAATGTGAATGTCATGTCAAAATCTGTTGCTGAGAAACTTGGTATAGGTACATTTGTCCCATCTCCAGTGAGGATAATCTTTGGTGATTCATCTCAAAAGAGAGCAGAAGGAATGATCCAGGACTTGCCACTGATCATTGGAAACAAAATAATCCCAGCCGATTTTCAAGTTTTGGAGATGGACAAAGACAAAGATAGGCCTATGATATTTGGTTGCCCATTCTTAGCTACTGTAGGTGCTGTTATTGACCATGCAAATCGCTGTTTAGTGATCTACTCAAAGTTTAATCCCTAGAGCTACTCTGCAAGAGCACATATGTGCAGTTGTAGTATAATAGGGGTTGAACCACAGAGACAAGAGATTCGCTCAATAAACCTATTAGAAATTGAATTACGCTAAGCAGATTAATGAGAAGCAAATAGCGATGCAAATAAAGATAAACGAATGCAGTAAAAACGTTTGTAAAGTTCAGATGGGTGGAGATTAGGCTTAGGGCGTTTCTCAGGAAATCAATGCATGCAGATAAATCGATTAGTCAGGGTTCAGGTTTAAACACGGTTCTTGAACTCAAATCACGAAATTATAATTAACCAACTTCCGTTGCGAGAATTATCTAAGTGTAAATCCTAGAATTCCAAATTCTTTTGCAAATCCTAAAGACATAAACCAGCTTTAATGCTCAAGTTCGATATGTTCACAAAGTATCTAAACCAAATTCCTTTGCGAATAGCTACTTTGCTCACCCTAGGTTCTTTCTAGTTATTCAATTACACTTCCGTGTCAATCAATTAACCTAAGATTTAAATTCTAGGTGGCCAGTCCAGAATTAGCTTTAAGAACAACCTATGGTGAAGACTTAAATAGATTATGAACCCTAATTAATCAATCAATCCAACATCCAAAGAAATCCTTTATGAGAACCCTAAACCTAACAGGCAAACTACTCAGACATGGAGATTGAATCAATAAACATGAATGAATAGATTGCAGAAAACAGTAAATAGATTAATAAACAGGGGTTCAAAATCTTCTCTCTTCGGAACAGAGTTTCAGACTTGTCTCCCCAAAAGCTCTCAAAAACAAAAGTTCTCTCTAAAAAAATCTCAGGTATCTATATAAGGTGGCTAAAAACCCTATTTATAACTTAAAAACACGTTTTGGGCTTCTTAGGAAATATTTGGAAACTTCTGGGCCCAACTCCTTCTTCAAATAGGAGACAAAATTGCGTTTTTCTTATTTCTTCGATCGGTGTCGAGCGACACTAAAGCACATAATTCATCCTTCACGAATTTGATCCTTGTTTAGCTCCAAAGTGCTCCAAAATCACCAATTAAGCTCCAAACGTACCTATGACCTGTAAAGAGTCCAAAAGACTCGAAAAACACTAAAAAGACTCTATAAATAAGACTTATATCATGGTCAAAAACCATAAAAACCATGATATATCAACTCCCCCAGACTTAGCATTTGCTTGCCCTCAAGCAAACAGAATACCAAATAAGAGGTTTGAAAACACGGAGACTCAACCTTTCATTGGAACATCACTTTGACCGATCACCCTGCAACTCAACTACTGCTTCATCATTCCAAATCGAACCACCATGTACTTCTCCGCAGACATTCACAGCTTCCCAGATTAAGTCCAAAATTCCACAACATTGTCCATAAGCCCTCATCGCTGGGTCTCACTGATTATTCCAATGCCAAGAACCTTCTAGACTCTTTCCTGTACTATACTCAAACAAATCAGCCATACACACTCTGGTACTTTTCCTCTCCCCAGACTTATTCTTTTCGCACACTCATCATCTTTTTCTTTTCTCTTTTTTTTTTTATGGCATATACTCGATAAGGGTAAAACTGCGAGTACTGATGGTGTTTGCCATCGAGTCCCCGAGTTGTCCCCTTACCTTGTATCAAAGGTTTTAAGTGAATACTGGGGTCATAGGAAACTTTCCTACCCCTCACTTCCTTCCTTTGTGTGATCATTCCAACTTAGAAGTGAAATAATGGGATCCTTGGAAATTTTCCTAGCCCTTCACTCCTAAGCGAAAATCATCTCAATCTTTTTGCCTTTTTCTTTCTTTCTTCATCTCAACATTAAATTTCACACAGGCTTTCATTTGTCAAGTATGAACGAGGAATCAAGCTCTATGAACATCAGTCACATCAATGAGGTAAAAGAAAGAGTTCAGAAATTAGCTCAGGTTAGTGGATTCTGTTGGAAACATGGACGCCTCTAGTCAACTGGTCAGCCTTTGCATTTTTCATTAGTCGGATCTAAACTGAATCTGCAGCAGTGGTCACCTAGATGAAATGTCAGCACAATAACTCCAAGAAAAGCATCATAATCTCCAACAAGTTTAGACTCAAAAATGTTTTGACACGACTGACTCTTAAGAAAAACAAACACAATGTCAGCAACTACCTCCCCCAGACTTAAACAACACTGTCCCCAGTGTTATCTAGTCCGAAGGTGGCGAAACAAAAGAAAAGAAACAGAAAAACACAGGAAAAACGGAGAACTTACCTGGCTGCAATGATGGTGTCGAACGACACCGATGATGGTGTCGTGCGACACTTATTCTCCTCGTACCGAATTGCAGCAGACCAATCCGAATTTCTGGATTGACTCCGGTTTCTGATTTCCTTCCTTTTTTTTTTTGACTGGTGTCGACCGACACTGATGGTGGTGTCGCTCGACACCAACCACTTCGTATCTGTTACACCTAAAACACAAAAACGAAAAACGAAAAATCAAAAGAAACAAAAAGACTTATGTACAGACTTACCAGTGGGTTGCCTTCCATCAAGCGCTTGTTTTAAGTCATTAGCTTGACTATGGATAGACTATGCATCTGGTGGATCAGACAGTGGCAAAGAGTGCCTCTGTGAAAGTCGTCTCATCCATGGTGGTGTGTAAGCGTTGTGTGCATGAGGTCGTCCAAGGAATGTAGGAATAACACCAAGGTGAGATCTGTGTTTGGGTGGCTTCAACCTATTCCCTGCAATATCATCAATCGAAAAACCAAGTGCCCTACGATAATCTCGTAGCTTGCGTCGTGAGACAGAGTCTGCATCTTTCAAATCAGTTTTGATGATATCACAAGAATTAGGATTAAACTCAAGAGGTGCGTACCTTTGCTTTGGTGGAGATGAATAGAGCATGAAGTTTTGAGCTTTCTGCTCAATAGCAAATACTGGTTCTGTAGACGTCTTAGTTAACTCAGGTTGATCTATCACCTTCTCAGCATCAAACACGTTCTGATCTCCAACTATCACTTCAGGTATTGCACTGACTTGGAATGTCTGACCATCTATGGTTGGATCCTTCAGCTTCTCCATCTTGAAAGTCATGATGGTATCTCCCAAGTGGAGATCAAGGTTACCATGCTTGACATCAATTACCGCTCCAGCTGTAGCTAAAAACGATCTTCCCAGGATAAGAGGATCTTTGGGTTCCTCTCCATATTTCAGAACCACGAAATCTGTAGGAATTATGCAATCACTAACTTTAATCGAAACATCCTCCAAGACACCTTTTGGGATTCTTTTAGATCGATCTGCTAGGATCAAAGAGATCTTAGTTGGCTTGAAGTCAGTCATCCCAAGGCTAATAGCTACAGAGTATGGCATTAGGTTAACACTTGAACCAAGATCACACAGCAATCTCTTGAACCTCTCTCAGAAGATAGAGCAGTCCAAAACAAAGCTTCCTGGGTCTGAGATCTTCTCTGGAGTCTTATTCTGAATCACAACACTGACCTGTTCAGATATCATCATCACTCCTTCCTCATGACTCAGATTATTAGTCACCATCTTCTTCACATAGTGTCTGAGAGTAGGAGCAATCTTCACATCATCAACCAAAGGAATCTCAATCACAAGCTTCTCCATCAAAGCCTTGCATCTGGCATCATCTATCTCTTGCTTGGACTTCCTAAGACTCCTTGGGTAAGGAACCTTAGGTTTGTAAACCTTTTCCTCAGCAGATTTCGTACTTTGAGCAATATCAGCTTTGCTCTGCAATTGGTGACGCGCGACACTGGTTGTGGTGTCGCTCGACACCGGCTCTGCAACTTCGAAATTTTCTTCAGATTCGTCCAACTCCACAATTTCATCCTCAGAAACACCCTTTTTCAGCACAGGAGTCAACTTTTTACCACTTCTTAACGAGATTGCACTGCAGTAATGCCTATGATTGGTATCAATCTTCCCAGGAAGGAATCCTTCTTGCCTTTTTACAAACTCTGCAGTCTGAGCAACCTGAGTATCAAGCTTCTTGACATGAGTGTTCAGAACTTCAATTTTTCCATTCAGATCCAGATACAGAGCATCAATCTTCCCATTGAAATCCACAGTCATCTTCTGCTGACCTTCCAAGATCTGTTCCAGCATAGACTTCACCTCATTATCTGGAGTTTGAGTAGGAGGAGAACCATAGTTCCTTGAAAAACTGTTGTTGGAGTAGGATGTATGGTACTGAGGTTTGGAGTTATAACCAGAAGAGTTCTGATTACCTGTGAAGGTACTCCTCTGATTATTTCCACTGTAATTCGTGTTCCCTTGCTGAGTACCAAATCTCTGACCCTGAAATCCAGCTCCATGGATGAAGTTAACAACCTCTTCCTCAAGGGCTTCATCTGGTTCGAAATTCTTAACCTCTGCAGCGTATCGGACGGACTTCTTACCCGCTAGAAGGCTATGAACAGAGTCAAGCTTAGCCTTCACCTCAGCAATCTGCGATCCATCCATGTTTCCACCCTGCTTCTTTCGCTGATAGTCTGCATTCTTGGTACTATTGCTAGATACCAAGTTCTCAATAAGCACAACAGCGTCTTCAGGGTATCTGGTGTTGAAGTTTCCATTGCTCGCTGCATCAAGGGCAATCTGATATCTCCAATCAACACCTCTGAAGAAAATACCCAACAGCTGAACATCACTGAAACCATGATGTGGAAAATCTCTTTGATATGACTTGAATCTCACCCAAGCAGCCTTGAATGATTCAGTTGGTCCTTGAGAAAACGTTGATATTTTGAGTCTCAGTTCCTCAGACCTGGCATCATCATAGAAATTGTGCAGAAAGGCGTTCCTGGTCTCTTTCCAGGTAGTCAGCGAACCTGGTTCCAACTGCTTCAGCCAGTTAGCTACTTCTCCAGCAAGAGAGTATGGGAACAGCTTACAGAAGAGGAAATCATTGGACACTCCATTGTACTTGATGCTGGTGACAAATTCCTCAAACCTCTCAATATGATCCATCGGATGCTCATGAGAAAGACCATGGAAAGGATGCTGACCCACAAGAGTGTAATACACAGGCTTGAGCTCAAAATCGTTCCTCTGAAACGCAGGAGCCCGAATCGCAGACCGATTTGCATATAATTGCTCAGGTCTGTTGTAGTCACCCAGCGTCCTGATGATGTTACTCTCTCCATCAAGTCACTGGCCTCTCTCATTACACACATGACCATCTTGGTCTCTCCAGACTCCAGCATCATCACGAACCAATGCCAATGCGTTCTCCATCTTTTCTAGTTTTCTGAGACAAAGAGAAAGAACAATGTAAGTAACAAAATAAAAATAAAATTAAGAAAAACGACGGGTGTCGCGCGACACCACTAGGGGTGTCGCTCGACACTAAGTAAAACTTAGTCGAAACTCAAGACCTAAGTTTAATGGCGAAAATCAAGTCCCCTGGCAACGGTGCCAAAACTTGATCTACTCAAAGTTTAATCCCTAGAGGTACTCTGCAAGAGCACAGATGTGCAGTTGTAGTATAATAAGGGTCGAACCACTGAGACGAGAGATTCACTCAATAAACCTATTAGAAATTGAATTACGCTAAGCAGATTAATGAGAAGCAAATAGCGATGCAAATAAAGATAAACGAATGCAGTAAAAACGTTTGTAAAGTTAAGATGGGTGGAGATTAGGCTTAGGGGATTTTTCAGGAAATCAATGCATGCAGATAAGTTGATTAGTCAGGGTTCAGGTTTAAGCACGGTTCTTGAACTCAAATCACGAAATTATAATTAACCAACTTCCGTTGTGAGAATTATCTAAGTCTAAATCCTAGAATTCCAAATTCCTTTGCAAATCCTAAAGACATAAACCAGCTTGAATGCTCAAGTTCAATATGTTCACAAAGTATCTAAACCAAATTCCTTTGCGAATAGCTACTTTGCTCACCCTAGGTTCTTTCTAGTTATTCAATTACACTTCTTGTCAATCAATTAACCTAAGATCTAAATTCTAGGTGGTCAGTCCAGAATTAGCTTTAAGAACAACCTATGGTGAAGAACTAAATAGATTATGAATCCTAATTAATCAATCAATCCAACATCCAAAGTAATCCTTTATGAGAACCCTAAACCTAACAGGCAAACTACTCAGACATGGAGATTGAAGCAATAAACATGAATGAATAGATTGCAGAAAACAGTAAATAGATTAATAAACAGGAGTTCGAAATCTTCTCTCTTCGGAACAGAGTTTCAGACTTTGATGAGGACATCGAGACAAGCCTAACATTAGCTGATGAAGATCCGATCAACATACCCACCATGAGACATGCCCCAAGGACAAGGTCAGGTACTAAGAGTCTAAGAGAGGAGTTCAGCAAGTCAATAGAAGGGCTGATCACACTTATAGAGCACGAGGAACTCAAAGAGGAGCTACTCAAAGGGGAGATCACCCGAGAGACACCAATGGAGCCTTTAACCGAGCTCGGCACACTTGAGGCACAACAAGATGTGAGTCAAGACCTTCAAGAAGCCAAGAAAGTCAACGAAACACCGAGCAATGACTACTCTCAACTCAAGCTTCAAGCCATATCATTCTTACCTGTTCTACAAGGCATCAAGGACGCTACTACGTTTGTTATCTCCAAGCAAGTGGAAATACCACTCATCGAACCAATGTAAGTGTTTACAATTGGATTATATTTCACAAGCTTATTGTTTGTTTTGCAGGAGCTTTTCTTTGCCTTAGTCGTTTTTCTTAGTTTTTAGAACTTTTCCATTTTTGTTGCTTTAGTTAAACGATGAGCTTTGTTGTTTCCTTTTCTGTATTTTTCGGCCAAGAGAAGCCACCCCGCTGTCGAACCATTATATAAGGTTCTTTCTCAGCATGTAAATTTTTAACCTATCAATAAAATAACCGAGTTTTCTTTGAAAGCAAAACCCTAGCCGCAGCTAGTTCTCTTCCTCTTCTTTGGTGCGATTCCTTTGAAGCTGAAGAATAAGACTTTTCACAGAATCTTCCATCATCTGTGTGGCGTCTCTCGATCCATTGTTACCCAGTCTCTTCATTTCGTCACTCCCTTTCTATCGAGTCATCTAGAGAGAGCCGTACGACCAGCTAGAGATTCACCACCTTTCCACCAAGCAAGGACAAGTCACTCTTGTTCCTACATTCATCTGGTATCAGAGCTTAGGCTCGTGTTAGGTGAATCTATCCCCTTGTTACCTTCTAGTTTCGTTTCATTCTTGAAGGAAAAAAAAAAAATTTAGATCCGTTTATTTAAGTCATTGCATCTTGTTAGGGTTCTCTAGAAAAAAAAATAGTACCGTTTGTTTCAAGTTTATATTCTTATCCTCATATCATTAGGTTCCTTAAGAAAAGTCAAAAAAAAAAATCTTGTTGCATCGCATTAGTATTCTTGAATCCGTTTTATTGCCTAGATACATTGTTTTAGTACATCGGTTACCTCATATCCTATAGTATTGTCATTGCATCAAAAAAAAAAAAAAAAAGAGAGAAGAGTCATCATACTTATAAGATTTGTTATTCGCGTTTTAGTAGCCAAAACTTTCATACCGCACCAATTGCACTTGATCTTTTGTTGTTTTTGTTGCACGCAGGGACGATATGGGAGAACAAGGAGAGGTTAACATGGCTCAAATGCTTGCTAATATCCAAGCTCAACTCGCAACCTTAGGGGAGCGAATGACACGGATTGAGCAACCACCACCGGCCCCAAGAGGACTTATCAGAGGTGTAGACGCGCGGAGAGGCAACCAGGACGAAGATGAGGTCAGGGAGGATCTTGACGATGGTGATCCACCGAACCAAAGCCAACCCCGAGGACAACACCAACGAGGCCGAGGCCAAGAAGATGGCAAAGACCTCAAGCTCACCGCACCAACATTTGCCGGCAAGGTGAACCCTGATGCGTATCTTGATTGGGAAAGAAGGATGGAATACATCTTCGATTATTACCAATACTCGGAGGCTAGAAAGGTGTCCTTAGCGGCTGCACAGCTAACTGACAATGCCTTGGCATGGTGGGATCGAGATGTTTCCGAAAGAAGAAGGCATAGGCATGGGCAGATCAATAATTGGGAGGACATGAGGTTCAGCCTCAGAAAGAGATATGTCCCCGCCTACTACCACCGAGACTTGCAGAAGAAATTTCGCAAGCTCACTCAAGGAAGCAAGACCGTGGAGGAGTATTTCAAAGAGTTTGAGACTCTTAAGAATCGACTTGAAGTAGAGGACTCAGCTGAGACCCTGATGGCCCAATTCAGTCTTAATGATCGAATTGCTAGAAAGGTCGAGAGGCAGACTTACCATGACTTGGAGGACGTGTTGCATCATGCCGTGCAAGCTGAGCAACACATTAAGAGGAAGAACACTTCCACAAACCGGAGCAAAACCACCTGGACGCCACAACCTCAACGAGCTCTTGAGAAGGGCAAAGCAGCCGAATTGGATAACCAGATCCACAAGTCCATTCCTGAAACTTCCAAAGCCAATAGACCCGAGGTAAGTAAAGCTCCCACACAACGAGCTAGAGATATAACTTGTTTCAAATGTCAGGGCAAAGGACATTATGCGAGGGAATGCCCAACCAAAGAGTAATGATCCTCAAATCTAATGGCGAGTATGAATCACAAGACGAAGGGGAGGAAGCTGAGGACACTGATGAGGACATAGTCGACTATCCTGACCGAGGAGAGCTCTTAGTAGTGAAGCGAGCACTTAGTGCACTCTTCGAGCCAGAAACCATTCAGAGAGAGAACATATTCCACTCTCGGTGCACTATAAATGCCAAGGTATGTAGCTTGATCATTGACGGGGGTTCTTGCACTAACGTGGCTAGCAAGTATCTTGTAGATAAGCTAGGGCTCACCAAGACTAAGCATCCTCGACCCTACAAGCTCAAGTGGCTGAATGATGAAACTGAGCTCAAGATTGCTGAGCAAGTAACTGTACCCTTTAGCATTGGTAAGTATACGGATCAAGTGGTGTGTGATGTGGTCCCTATGCAAGCCGGGCACTTACTCTTAGGGAGGCCGTGGCAATTTGACAAGGAAACTCTACACAATGGGCGCACAAATTACTATACCTTCACTCATAACAACAAGAAGCATAACCTAGCACCACTCACTCCGCAAGAAGTGCATGACATGCACAAGGCCATGTCTCGAGGCTCAGAGGTAAGCAAGACCAACCTTTATGTTACCCCTACGGTTGTGCTTAAATCTCTTGAATCACGAGAACAGGTGCTACTAATGATCTTCAAGGAAGGTTTGTTTTCAGGTCAGGAACAACAAGAGATCCCTCCAACTGTTAAGGAGCTTTTGGACCGCTATTCTGATGTGTTCCCGGAGGAGATTCCACCAGGCTTACCTCCCATTAGAGGAATAGAGCATCAGATTGACCTGATCCTTGGAGCACCGTTGCCAAACCGAGCCGCTTACTGAGTTAATCCTGAGGAGGCCAAAGAATTAGAGAAGCAAGTACAAGACCTACTGTCAAAAGGCTATATACGCGAGAGCCTAAGCCCGTGTGCTATCCATGTCTTACTGGTGCCCAAGAAAGATGGCTCATGGAGGATGTGTGTTGATTGTAGAGCCATCAACAACATCACCATCAAATACAGGCATCCCATACCTCGACTTGATGACATGCTAGATGAGCTTAACGGTGCCACCATCTTCTCTAAGATCGATTTGAGAAGCGGATACCATCAAGTGCGAATGAAGGAAGGAGATGAATGGAAGACGGCGTTCAAGACAAAGAGGGGCTTGTATGAGTGGCTAGTGATGTCATTTGGACTCACCAACGCACCAAGAACCTTCATGAGGCTCATGAATCACGTTCTAAGAGCCTACATCTGTAAGTTTGTAGTAGTGTACTTTGACGATATACTAATTTACAGCACTTGTCTTGCAGATCACCTGGAGCATCTTTCACAAGTTCTAGAGACACTTCGGTCAGAGAACTTATACGCCAACATTAAGAAATGCACCTTTTGCACTGATCAAGTAGTATTTTTAGGCTTTGTTGTTAGCTCACAGGGTCTTAAAGTTGACGAAGAGAAGATCAATGCCATTCAAGATTGGCCCACGCCCACCACCATCGGCCATGTGAGGAGTTTTCATGGTCTCGCAAGCTTTTACCGCCGATTTATCAAGGATTTCAGCACTTTGGAAGCACCACTAACATCGGTGATCAAGAAAAACGTGGAATTCAAGTGGTGGCAAGCACAGGAAGAAGCATTTAACAAGCTAAAGGATAGC